AAATGGATATAAATAGATAGATGGCTAAATAAATAGATAGATAAATAAATAAATAGATAGATAGATAAATAAATAAATAAATAGATGGATAAATAAGTAGATAGGTGGATAAATAAATAGTTAAATAAATAGATAAATAGACAGATAAATAAATAAATAAATAAATAAATAAATAAATGTATATAAACAGATAGCTAAATAGATAAATAAATAAATAAAAAGATGGATAAATAAATAGATAGATGAATAAATAAATAAATGGATGGATAAATAAATAGATGGAAAAATAAATAGATAGATGAATAAATAAATGAATGAATGGATAAATAAATAGATACATGAATAAATAAATAAATGGATGGATAACTATATAGATAAATAAATAATCAGTAAACTACATATTTCTGTTATATATCAATATCATTTGAAGAATACGAAGAAAAAAAAAAATCAACCAATCTATTAGAAAGCTGTTGCATTTTTATACCACGTGACGCAATTTTCACAACAGACAGTCCACTACCTAAACATCGGTTCATTTCGAAATAATAAGCGCCATCGATTTTAACGAGGATGATCTCGATTCAAAAACCGGCGACGTATAGTCGGCCTGATATCGGCGGATATCGGCGTAAATCGTTCTAAATCGATCCACGGAATTATGTACAAGCGTTAAGGATCAATGAATTATTCACAGCTACGTTATTTATACCCTGAACCATGACCAATTTCACGGACCGATCGCCCGTTCGATCAGCTGCTGTCCGCGGATCATTTGCCGGCATCACGATCACGAGCGGATTGTCCTGGCCGCGATCGATAATCACGTTCGATTCCAGCGCGAGGTACGACAATCGCGCGCGATAATTGAGCAAAAACGACTGGAGAAATCTCGTTTTATCGAACTTTCCATCAAACTACTGCTCGGATGACTAATCGTTCTGCGAGCACACCGTCACTCGTTCAACTTGCTTCGCGTCTTCCGTTTCTGGGTGAAGTTTAACGCTGTTCTTCCAGCGCCTTTCAACGAGAAAATTGATTCTAATCGATCTCGATCGGACGGAAGCGCAGTTTTTCGACACCCGAACCGAAGTGCCTGATAAGTTTCAGTTTAGAGCGTAATTTTATTATACTTCCGAGGCAAAGAGATAAGACGGTTTGTAACGCTTCTAGGCTATCGTTAACGTTATTATAGGTCAAAATGTCCCGTTTTCGATATTTTATTTTTAACATTGATCTTTATTTAAATAGCGTCGCAGTTGCGTGTGTTTCTTCATTTTCATTGTACCGATTTAATCTGTGGATTTGGTTTTATTAGCGTGAATGCGAGTGTGCGAGGTCGGGTGATGGCATGAATGTAGATACGTATGTTTTTGGAAGTGCGAGTGGAAGATCTAGAATGCGTGGTATTGTGCATTTGTTATAGGGCAGAGCCAATATGTCGCGAGGAGAGTCAGTTTGTTGTGAAAAGCGTGAAAGTGAACAGTGACGAGATAATAATAGTATTAAGAGAAATTTCACCGCGCATACCTAATCGTTGTAATCTTCTCGTGACGCGTGTATATTATAATTTGTAATAAATATATAATTGTTGAACAGCAAACTCACATAATCAACGTATAACGCAATTGATTATATGTAATAATCGTATAACTAATATATTAATATGACAAATTAATATAAAGAATTTAATTTAAAGAACATTGGAACCTAATTGAATATTAGATAGATGGTAGTATGGCAGATACTAGCCGTGCGATAGTGACTATTCAATAGACTGATTAGTTGAGTGCTAATATTAGGCTATAAGACACTAAAATTGTATACGAAAGAATGCACAAAATCCACCATCTTGAAATCATTGTATACTATAGTATACTACAGCCACAGGATAATCCGAGCCGGTTATTGTAAATCCAATTTCCTAAATTTATTATCATGGAGTTTAAAATTTCAAAGATGAAGAGGTTGTTCCAAGTCTCTAGAGACGCTATTAATCCTTGAAATACCGTTTCGACAGTATTATTATTCTCATTAGTGTAGCGACCAACACCCTTACTGTTAGATGGAAGAACGGAGGTTCGAGGTTTCCCGCAAGTCCTTGGTGAATAAATATTCCATAAATACGAAATTTCTATGCTATCTAAGTATCCCCTGTCTAAGGCAGGGCCTGCTAGAAAGCCTTACTTACAAGTCCACTAGCAGGCCCAGGATCAAACGCATCCCTTCCTCGCGTCCTTCTACCTGCTACCTATCATAGCAAGACGGCCATCAGGATACCAACCGGAAGCACCGTAGGAACTACAAGACTTCCAATAACCCCCGTGGGGGGGACCTTCACAATTAATATATTAAAACGCCGATTTTACGTGTCGTTCCGTTCACGCCACAGTTAGCTGTCGTGCGGGCCCTTCCGGGCCCTACTGACCGCCGAGGCCTGAACAGAAAGTCTAGTGACGGTTCCTAGGGACCGATGTGGCATTCAACCCTTTGCGGTCGGCAGATTTCCTGTTTGTAACTGTTTATTACTCTTATCTTGGCACCTCAAATTCGGAAACTCCATTATTCATACCATCCAATAGCAAAATACATTGCCCTACCAAGGGTCCGTATAAATGCTAGACCTGGTAGCACTGTAGCACAGTATCAAGAAAAATCTTACAGTCCACTTAGTATTCAAAGCTATATACAATCTCAAAGAGCCGTCCGTCACTAATCGTCGTTAATCAAGAACGACCTAGTAAGGATATATATAATTAATTAATGTACATTATATTTAGGTACAGATTACTGATCGCTAGCTCTAGTGTTAACGCTTTGTAGACACCATTTTTAGTATTTGATAATATAATATATATATTGATAATATATATCTTTATTTTATAATTTATATATAATATATATTTCATAATTTTTATATGGATGTAAGAGTATGTTTAGTAACCTTTAAGTTACGTGTCATTATAGAGGGTTAATCTAGAATCTTAAAGAAAAATTGTTACTACTCCATATACAGAATATTTGTTTATGATTTTATAATTAAAATTGTTTATATAAAATCAAGATTTTATAGATATATAATATTTTTCCCCTCTTTGGTTTAGATTATTTAAGACTCACTTATTTGGTTTAGATTATAAGTTCTTGTAGTTTGTCAGAAAAAATCTAGAATACCCTGTATAATTTAGGCAGAATGGTTTTGGAAAGGATGTGAAAGATGTTGAAATTACAAGCTACGGAAGAATATTCAAGGACCACTGACTGTTAGAGAGTCGACACGGATTTCTATGTAAATTTTGTCCACTGAAATATTCTATGACTAATGGCTACTATGATGATAATTGCTGATTATACTATCTAAAATAAAAAAAGACTCGTTTGTGGTGCCTAAGTGGGACACCCGAGCTAACATCAGGTCACTCAATCGTACAGCCAAATCAGCATACAATAGAATGTCGACTAACAGTAGATCAATTATCTTAATTTCTAATCAATCGAACTTCCAATTACTCTGGTATTAATTCTTCGATGATGCATGACTCGAAGATGTCGATAAAAATTCTTATGCATTTGTTAGAAGCTGAAGTTTTATCAGGAAGCGCCAATTCGAGACAGCTTGCGGAAAAATTATATTTAGATTGCGTTTTGAAAATAATTTAATAGGAGCTGTAGCAATTAAAAATATAGCTTTGGTAATCTTAAGACGATTTTCCAATTAACTCACTAGCGCCACCATGACTAATATCTACAATAGATGTTTATCGTAAATATCGTATTTCTCGTTGGATTATTTTCTAATTTGACTGATGTAATCTTGGAATTTTTTTCTTACGTGTATTATACTGTTTGCACAATACTGTTTTCACAAATTTTTTGATCATACTTGTACGATCGTACTCGTGAAAGGATTAAACTGAATAAACTAACGTAAAAATTCTAAGCTGATTTTTGTAAACTTTACCAAAACCATCGCTAGGTCAATTAAAGCACAGCAAAATCTATACTCGAAATTTTATACTCAAAATTAAAGTGAGTCACGTATATAAAATTAATAAGTTTAATTTTAATTAATATTAAATAATCTTGTACGACTTTCGAAAAGAAGTGCACTATATAAAATCTACTATACACGTACAAAAATGAAAACTAGTTCAGTTTCACTCAAAACAAGAAAACCGAGGTCATCTCCTGATTTCATAAACACAACTACCTAGGGAAGATTAATGACCACCATAATATATTAAGTTTTATTTGGAACATTTATTTCGAAACGAGTTATAAATCAAAAATAATTACGTTTGAAACTTCAAATGGGTCACCCTGTATATCTTTCCTTATTCCATTGCTCCCAAGATTCATATCAAACTTGCGCCATCTATCACGATTAATCACACGACTAGTCACATACAGTAGTGCCCACAGTTGGGACTTAATCCGAACACTTATGTGGGAACGTGACAAAATTTGAATTTTGTCAAAGGAGAAGAGATGAATATCCGAAAAAATCAAAGATCTCAATCAGTACTTTTGAAGTTCACTTTCAAAAATTGGTGGGGATTGTAATTGACGCTAAAGTGGGCACAAATTTGGATGCTAAACTGGGCGCAACTTCGGACGTTAAAGTGGGCATAACTTCAGACGCTAAAGTGGGCATAACTTCGGCCGCTAAAGTGGGCATAACTTCGGACGCTAAGTGGGCATAATTTCGGACTCTAAGTGGGCACAACCTTGAACGCTAAGCTGGACGCAACTTTGGACACTAAACTGGGCGCAACTTTAGACATTAAGTATGCAAAACTTCGGATGCTAGAGCAGGCATAACTTCGGACGCTAAGGTAGGCACAATTTTGGACACAAAATTGGACGCAACTTCAATTAAGCTGACAAAACTTGAGACACTAAAACGGACACTATTATAACAGGTTTAGCGTTAAAACGACTACTTCTGACATTCCTCCAGAGAAATCAAATAACCAAGAGTTTCGCTAAACCCAACTCACCGTCTGATTGAGCTTGTTCTCTGGCCTGTCAGCAGGTTCGGCCTTGGCCTCATTCGGCGTTGGCCTCGTGGTGAGTAGTCTTTCCCTGGCCAGGTTGGTCGTATTACCACGGACACCCTTGTTACCTGCATCCTTGGTGGCAGGCACAGCTGACGACGTGGCGCCCTTTTGAGTACCATTCACGAGGTCCACGGCTCCGAAGGCCTCGGACTGCAGTGGCGCCGCCCAGTTGGTCGGCGGTTCCTCGATCCAGGGCCCGGAGGAGCCGAAGTGGGCGCATACGTAGAGCAACACGCAGATGTTGAGCACCACCGACACCCGAAGTGCCCAATTTCTACGCAGAATACTCAACATGCTCATTCTCCAGCCTCCTCCAGGACCACGATCCAGCCACCGTCCTATGGAAATCGTAACCAAGCGCTGCTGGCTGTCTTCGGTGTTCTCTTCCACCACCTCCCCACCCCTATGGGGCCCGTGATGCTCCGCGATCAGGATCTGAGCATGATTCTGGGGAGCTTCGACCTCCTCTCTCTGGTTGCACACTGCAAGGCAAAGAAAATTATTGTAGAGGGCGTTTTCACTCATTTTTATTAGAATAATTTATAGTACTTTCATTCATTCTGTCGTTTATAAATTCGAATTTGTTGTAATTTTTAGATTAAAATTACAGAGATTATCGTAATTCGCAAGGAACTAATTGGGGGGAATAATGACGTTACAGCGAACAATATGTAAAGATTATTATTAGTGAAATGTATGCCTATGGAAATACAAACAAAGAGTATAGATGTCCGTAAGGGTTCTAACGATTTATGTGAACTGTACCGCATAGGAGTTTCGAACTGTACGTTTCCAGAAAACAGAATGCTCTTTAAACCCAAACTAGGCACACGACTTGTCGACGCCAGTGTCACGTAGCGCAACGAAGAAAATAATAAAGAAACTTGAGTTGCTGAGCTGTCGGCTCAAAGCTTTTTTTTATTTTATAATTCATAGGATTACAATAATATGTTCTTACAAATATTCAGACTGAGCGAAGTTTAGTTGCGGAGTGTTGTGTGACTGGCTGTTTTTCTGCTTGGTCTGAGGTTTTGGGTGTTTTGAGTTACCGCCTAATCTTGGGTGGTGACACCAGCATAATAAACGAAGGTCCATCCCCCAATAGGAAGGGAACCCAAAAATTGCTACGGGCCTGCACGTCTAGCACGTTTGACGTCATCGTTGCGCGGCTATGGTTTATTCCAACGGAATTGATAACAATTTTTTAATTATATGTAATTCCAAAGAGTTTGTTTTATCTGGGTTGTTGGGTTGTATTTAGATTACGCTTGTTTTCCTGCGGTTTTGAAATGTTATTGAGATAGCATTGTGGTGTTTGGTCGAGTTTTCATTAAGTTTAGGTTAGTATTCAGATGAAATGAGACTATATCAGAATTTTGTATGATAAATGAACTAAAAATAGTTGAGATTCAATTAGAATTATTATTCTCTGTAATATAGTTATATATATTAACAATATAATTTTTATTTATACAAATATTTGCCTAATTTTAGCTTATATTTTATTTATATTTAATAATTTTGGTCATTTTTATGAGCGATTGAAAAGGAGAGTTTGGGCTAGTTTTAGGTTGATTAAATTATTTCTTATGGAATATTATCATACTATAAGGGCAATAATGCAGATGAATCAGACGTGAATTACATTTAACTGAAAAATCCGAGAATTTTGAAAATATTAAAAACATAGGCGTAGGACATTCTTTTTCCTTTACTAAATTTCTCACTACACATTTCCTTACTACTATTTTGCTCCTATAACTGGAATAGAGGGAGAGGGAGGAATGGGGGAGAAAGAGAGAGAAAAAAGAGAGAAAAAAAGAGAGAAAGAGAAAGATAAAGAGAGAAAGAGAGAGAGCAAAATATGTTGCCAATTGATACTGCATCACTTTGCAAGTAGCCATAATATGTACTGTCAGTAATTAAATAATTATAAACGGAAATGTTATTAATTTTTAGAAATATTTGCCAGGTTCCTTTCATTGGAATCTATTGTACGCTGTATCCTGTGCTCAACTATACATGCTCAACTATCCAACAATGAAGCCATTGCCATGCTTATTCACAGTGGTTCATGCATAGTGAGAGAGGTAAGAAGATCGAACCAGTCACAACATGTCATTATCACCGATGGATCGAATTAGGTAACTGACTTACTAGCAAGTCGCTAAGAATAATTCTTTCAGCAGCTTCTAGAGAACTTCAAGAGGTCACGATTCGCGTTTGTGCAATAACTAGTGAAATCGAGGGAGCCAGGTAGGAATCATTAAACCTGTTATAGTTGGGTAGTTTCTTAATCAGAAACTCCTTTGGTCACGGAATTAAAAATCGATGAAGTTTAGTTAATTTTAGTTAGGTCGTTTAACACCACAGTAACAGAAGCAATAACCCATTAAAAAGTAGATGAAAGTTGTGACTTTCACCTGTACAGAGTACAGTTAGCAACACTGTTTCATTCTCAGGAAACATTAATTTTTCTTCGTGTTTTAGAATAGTAGCAAATTCGTCTTTTATTCAATTTGAGATTCAGATAGGATGGACTAGAAGTGTCCTCTGTCATGAGACCTATGAGCGATGATAATTAAGCAACCAAAGAGGATATGACTCGGGCTAGGCTATTGTTAGGTCAGGTTAGGTTCGAATTATGTTTAGGTTAGGTTTCTGAATGAACAGTCTAAGAACAAAGACTAGCAAGCAACCATCGACGTTATGGCAATTTGATATGTTGTTAGACTTAGTTTAGGTGTAGCCTAGAACCTAACCTAATCTAACCTAACTCCTACGCGTACTCTAATTGGATGTAAGTTATGGGTGATGGTAATTAAGTAACAAAGAGGATCTGACTCGGGCTAGGCTATTGTTAGGTCAGGTTATGTTTGATTTGCGTTTAGGTTAGCTTTCCGAATAAACAGTCTAAGAAGAAAGACTAGCAAGCAACCATCGACATTATGGCAATCTGATATCTTGTTAAACTTAGTTTAGGTTTGGACTAGAACCTAACCTATGCTATCCTAACCTAACCTCTATGGTTACTTCAATTGAATGTGTTATAGGTTATGATAATTAGGCAACCAAAGTGGATCTGACACAGGCTAGGCTATTGTTAGGTTAGGTTAGGTTCGAATTATGTTTGGGTTAGGTTTCTGAATGAACAGTCTAAGAACAAAAACTAGCAAGCAACTATCGACATTATGGCAATTTGATACGTTGTTAGACTTAGTTTAGGTTTGGGTTAGAACTATGTTACTTCTAGGTCAAGTTTCTTAATACTATAAAACAAATATAGAATGGTCTAATAAGCAATTACTAGTGACTTTGCAAATAAGCAATTTGTCACATTAAATTTAATTCGTGTTTGAATTCAAGTTAGATTAGATTTCAATGTTTCTCAACCAATGTGCTGAGGGTATAAGGCTCGACTAGGAAGTAGCCATCAATATCATAATGATTGTATCCAGTTCCTTATCAAAGATTCAGCCATCCAACAGGCCAGCCTTTGTCACTGACTATCTCTCTTCAAACAAAGACACAAAAGAGAGTTCTACTGAATTGGAAATTCGGTTCTTTCAACGTTATGTCTGTCAGAACTGTTTTATTCATCTTAGTCGGAAATACAATCATCCCCTCAATGAATAATCTCCCTTCTAACAGGACTCAACAATTAGTAATAAAATTTCTGATTAATTTTTTCGTCGTTACACTCGTACAACAAAATTTGCCATTAAAATTTTAAATAAAATTTCTATTATTCCCTACCTAATAGTTTCTTTCTAAACTGGAAAATATTTGAAAAACAGCAAGCCCATAATTATCCTAGGCTTCTGTTGTTGACAAAAAGATATAAAATAAAAAAAAAGAAATAAAAAATAGAAATAAAAATTAGAATACATAGAAAGTTATATTATTTTAGAACAAAAATGTTAATTCTTCGCTAATAACAATGTTCAATAATTTATAAAAAAATATAATTTTATGTCAATGATAACCATGTCACTTATGAGAAAATCCCAACTATTGTTACGAATTTCAGAATTATAATTTCTTTCGTTTCTCTTCTTTGTAGAAATTACAGTTTGATGACTGTAGGTTCCCCTAATAGTAGAACAAGCCACAGCTCACGACTAGACGGTCTGAAACACTAACACTAATGCATCTGTCCGTCGTCTGGTCCCCTTTGCACTTGGACTGACATTATCTCAGGCTGCTCTTTGAGGCCTTCCCCTATATCATTCCCTGGGGACTATACAAAGCCCTGTTTCAGTCGTCGAATAATTCTTGCGCACAGTTATTAGCAGCAACGACGAACGACCGGGGGAAATTGGCACGGCACTTTGTATCGCGACTTAATACGATATCCCAGACAGCACGGAGTTTCTGAAGTTGAATTGCACGTCAGCGAGAGAAGTTAGGCAACATTATGCTAGGAGCCACGCGACGCGATATCGCTTCCGATGCTTATTACCAGAGAACGGATTGAACGTGGATTGACATACTTCATAGGGCATTGCGAAATTACATGGCTGTAGAGGCTAACGAAAGGATCGTTTTTTGTTCGACAACGTATGTTCGATTTCGTTCCGTTTCTTAGTAATGGAGAGTCAAAGACACGAGAGTTGAGCTCCTGCTGTAGAGCAATCCGCCGTGCACGGTCTATTTCCGCACGGCTCTAGGAAACCCATTAGGCAGGGGATATTGCATTCTAATTTTTCGCGCGACGAAGTGCACATTTTTATTCGCGAGAGTCTTCCTATTCTCGAAAAGATCGATTCGTTGTCTCCTTATCTATATACAGGGTGTACGAAAAAATGGTTCAGGTAGGGATTACGATGAAAGCTATTAGAAGAACAAAAGTTACGGGAGTTGAGCTCCTGTCATCGAGCAACCAGCCATACATGCTACTTTTCCGGGCTGCAAGGAACCTTGATGCATTACATTCCAATTTTTTGCACCGTCTAGTATGCGTTGTTTTTGCTCGAAGAGGATGTTCTCACCCTTAGCGATTGAATCATTACCTTCCTTTTACGGCATAAAAGTATTCCGTTAAATGTGGTCACAGTAAATTGTTTCCTATCGACATCTATCATGATACTTGCGTTTTTTGGATTTCCGAGGATGAATTACGGGCAAGTGGGGAAAATTAGGTAACATTATGATATTGCTTTCGATCATTATTATGCTGTGGATTGAATAGGCAACGTTGCAGAGGAAATCAATTTGCATGTTCGGATTTTTTGCACCTTGAGAAGCACGTTATTTTCTCTTGAGAAAGATGTGTCCACCCTTACTATATTTACTGGTGGGAATCTAGCCCACGATTGATACTATTACTACCTTAAAAGCAATCTTAAGATAATGATGTGAATAAAAACACTGGTCTTTACCCGTACAATTTTTTCTGAAATTTTATGCTAATTTAATGAATACTTAGAGAAATTTTATAAATGTTATTAATTTCGTAATATTCTATAATAATATAAATCTA